AATATATGTGTATTTTTGTACATTATACTTGAAGAGCTGGAATTGCTGTGTCAGAGGATGCATACTTTTTATTTTGGATAAATATTGCCAAATTGCCAACCACAGATGGGCCAGTGTAAAGTCTACCATTGATTATGAAAACTCCTCTTTCCATTTGATACTAATGCAGCAGTCCCATCCATCTTTCATGATTTCGTTAGTTCAGTGTTACTCACTTTTTATCTTTTGTGTTTACCTTTTAAGTTACTCTTTTCAAGGGTGCCCACGAATATTGAATATTTGCTGATGTTTTTTGAATACTTATTGCATGCCAGACATTCTACTCATTGTCTCATTTTGTCTGTGTGATAAATTGAGGACATTGGATTTTACTTAAATTTTTATCTTTACACTTAAGATAATAAAGTTGTAATTAGCTTAGTGAGCTCCTCTCATGTTACATGTTTCGCAGATTCAGGAGGAAGAGTGTCCACCAAGAGATGACTTCAGTGATCCGGACCAGCTCAGAGTGGGGAATGACGGGATTTTCATGCTGGCATTTTTCAGTAAGTGCTTTTCACTTCCAAACTTTTTTTTTGTTGTTGTTGTTGCATATATTGGCTGTTTGTGTATTTAAAGTAACAGATAGTGAAGAAAGGCAGATACTGTCAATGTGTGTCCACCTTGTTTAAAATGTAAATTGCTCCTGATACTGAAGTAAGTGTGATCATATGTTACAATACTAATCCTAGAATTTATCAAGCACTTACCAGGTGACTTTGTATTACAATCGTTATGCTAGACACTGAATGTAGAGAGATACCTATAAGCATATTTAAAGCGAAATGTGTTTCTGCATGTGAAGTGCTGCATGTCCATTCACTGTTATAGGAGCATGTATAATGAAGTGATAAATTCTGCTTTGGGGGTAGAGAACTTCCATTTGAGCGTCTTTAAGTAGGAGGAAGGGTTGGAAAAGGAGACGTTTTGGGCAACTGGAACACTGTGATCTGAGACACAAAAATATGAAAGTTTGTTTTATTTGGGGATGAATGGTCAGTAATTAGAAGACCAGAAACCTAAGGAATATTTTTTAACATTTTCCAACATTCTTAATTTAATGTTTGACCTTATAGAGTAGACTTAAGCTACTTGTGGGAAGACTTTGTTACAGTCTTCATTATTTCAGTTCATAACAGGGATTAGCACATAGCACACTCAGTAAATGGTATTATGACACTCAAACTTTGAAACTGCAAAAATCAGTTTTGGAAACCCAATTTTCAAGTAAATAAATTTATTAGATTATGATACAGTTAATTTCTGCCCTCAACCTGGTTAAATGATGAAGCTTTCATACCTTCTTTAATAGAATGCTGATTTAATTAATTTTAATTGTAAAGTTCATTTTGACAATAAAACTGAGGAATATTTTACTTATTTAAAGTACCGCATTCAACTTTAAAAATAGAAAATATAGAAAGTATATACTTCCTGAATTGAGTTACTTTTGCATCTGAGAATTCACTTAATTTTTCCTCCATTTTGCAATGGTTTCTTTCTCCCTTTTGTTCCTTCATTCCACCTGCTGAAGAGAAGTAGATAATCGCTCAGAGATGTGTGGGTGGAAGGGTAGGCAGACATATTTTTCTCTTCAGAATTAGTGAATTATATTCAGGTTGGCAACCAGATAATTAATGTATGTGCAATATTTATATCTTGTGGTTTTAGATACAGTTTGTAGTTAGAAATGATGCTGGATGTGATGAAAAGGAAAGGAACACTTTGGCTACAAATGACTCGGTTTTGTATTACTAGTCTAGTGAACCTTGTTTTCTTAGTTTTAGTTCAACTGGTAATCCTTTATATTAATATCAGGCTTCCCACATATTTTCTTTACAAAAAGAGCAACATAAACATTAACCATTTCATGGTTATGTCTTCTGAGAACTCTTAATTGGAAAAGAAAAAATTTAAATTTATTGTAACTATTTGTAATATAAATAACCTGTTTTTTAGGAATAAAAACAGATTATTTGATGCCACCTAGTTATTTTACTCAGAATTTGGTTATTATGTCTCCATTTCTGTATTTCATTTAACCATGCCATCTTCTTTTCAATCTTTATTTTTTAGATCTGAAAGCATTTCACTGACACCAGTATTGTAAATGCATGATAATCTCTACACTTGGTTGACCTTATTTTTGGCCAGGGGTGGGATATTAATATGAATATAGATATTTATATTTAATATAAATATCAGTTATCTGCCTTTTATTACATTTTTTACTAAATTATGTTTCTGCAACTTACATCTTTATGCTTCCTATTTTACAACTATTGCACTAATATTATACGAATAAAGTTATAAATTACTTTTCACCTTCATTTCCTGGTAACATTTTTCCAGGTAGGCTGTTGGCCAGTGCTTCAGTTTATTTGTCTTAAATGAGTATAAATTTATTTGTAATCACTACCATCTAGTGGCTGTTCTGCAAATTGCAGCTTGCTGCATTTTCCATACTCCTTAAACTAATAGCTATGGTCTAGATTCTATTTTATTGTCTATTTCTAAGGTTCAGAAATCTGTTTTCCTTAATGTGGTTTATAATTTAAGCATTTCACATTATGTAATTTGTACAAATAAAACTGCAGTGAATATTAATAAGACTATTTGAATTAAAACCTTTTGTTGGTTTCTTTCCTTCTGTTTTCAATGTCTATGATTCAGTCTCCTACCACATGTAACACCCCAAAACAGTTTACACTTAAATTTGGTAAGATAAGTGCTAGTTCATGTTCAGAAAATGTAAAGAAAGAAATGTGTGTATCCACTGATAATGTTTTTGCTTCTCATAATCTCGAAGTGTCACTGCAGAATGCCTCAGGCATGCCTAACCTGTTGTGTCTGAGCTTATTTTTAACAGGTTTTCTCTTTTAAAGGATGGAATAGAAGTCAGTTATATAGATTAAGATTTGGTTCATTGGATAATTGACATTCTGTGGAAATGACCTTGAACTCTAGTGCTTAAAAATGTAATGGACTCTGTTTACAAGACTATTCTTCTAAGGTTTAGCCTTTTGTACCATGTGTGAATCTTCACTTGACCGTGCTACATAATAATTAATCACCTTCATTATTTCCATTTTAGACTTCAGGGGACCATAATTAAATGGATATTAAGTTATTTGTATGTAACTTTAAAAAGAATTAGAAGGGTGTTTTAAAACATTAATTCTGATTTGTAAGAATTTGCCAAACTGTCTTCCAAAGTGGCTGTACCATTCTACCGCCTCATCAGCAGTGAGAGTTCTGTTTCTCTGATCCTCATCAGCATTTGGTATTGACAGTTTTAAAGGTTTTAGAAATCTGATAGTTGTGTGGTAGTGTCTAGTTGTGGTTTAATTTGCATTTCCCCAATGATCGGTGATACTGAGCATCTTTATTCAGTAAGTTCTTTCAGGCACCTCACATGGACAAGTCATAAAAGTTAACAGTTCTTAAAGAGGTTATCTGGGTACCAAACACTGAAAAACAATATGATGATGACTTATTCTGTTCATGTAGAGCTGTGTTTCTATATAGCTTTTATATGGGACTACATATTGCAAATGAATCTAGAAAGGGAACATCTAAGACTTGTAACTACACTTTAAGAAACTCATAATATTTGTGAAGTATTAAATTTTATTGAATTTGTTCTGTTTATAAGAAAAATAATTTTCTGGTCCTCACATTGCTTTTAATTTAGTGGAAATGTCTTATAATTAATAAATTGTTGGCTCCATGTTTTTCTCAATGGCTGACAGTTTAAACAGAGAATTGCATGAAGATAAGGCAGAAATTTTCCTTTGTGCAGTTCAGAATTAAGTAAAGTGAAATTGATTATTTGGGAACTTACTGTATGTCAAAACTGGTGCATTTATGTATAATGAGAATTCTTCTGTGATCAAAAAATTAATAAGTACTTAATGTTAGTATTACATGTGTATTTATTTATGATTTTCATTTATTTTCAAAGCAAGTATGAAACATTTTTTAAATTTAAAAACTTTTTAAAGTTTTCATTTTTAATTTGAAATAATTTCAAATTTACAAAAAAGTTGCAAAAATAGTACAATTGCCTTATAACTTTCACCTAGCTTTTCCAAGTGTTAACATATACAACTTCAGTCCAGTGATCAATAAGAATTGTCTTTGTTTCTTAATGCCTTTGACTCTTCTGAAGAGTACTGGCCATGAGTTTTGTAGAATATCTTTCAATTTGGTTTTATTTAATGTTTCCTTATGATTAGATTCAAGTTATGCATTTCTTTTTTTTTTTCCGCCTCAAAAGTACCATAAAAGTGATGTGTCCTTCGTAGTACTGTAAAAAGTGAGTCTGTGTGTGCTTCAGTAGTCACAACGGCATTGTCTTCCTAGTGCTTAAACCAGTCAAAGACTGAGTTATTATATATTAGTCTGTTCAGGCTGCCATGACAAAATACCACATACTGGGTGGCTTAAACAATGAAAATTTATTTTCTCACTGTTCTGGAGGCTAGAAGTTCAAGATCAAGGTTTCTGGTGAGGGTTCTCTTCTTGGCTTGCAGATGGCTGCCTTGCAGGGTCCTCACACGGCCTCTTCTCTGCATGTGTGCGGAGGGAGCTTTCTAGTGTCTCTTCCTGTAAGGACACCAGTCCTACTCTGATAGGGCTTTATACCCATAACCTCATGCAAACTTACTTACCTCCCTAAAGGCCCTGTCTCTAAACGTAGTCACACTGAGGGTGAGGGCTTTAATACCTGAATTTTGAGGGGACACAGTTCAGTCTATAACAAGCTATGTCACATGAGCACAAGGTATAGGAATTCATACCGCTGGCAGAGAGCATCAAGAAAACAAGGTGGCTCATTAAGTACTTTTTGTTCTTTTGGGTCTTAACTCCTATTTTGGGTACAGCGATATGTGTAATAGATATTGGTAAGTCTAATTTTGAAGAAAGTGAACAGTGTTTAAACTGTTTTCCCCCAAAGCTAAGCATACACATACTTGCAGGTGAAAATACACTTTTGGAATATTTTGCTGTTTTGGATTTTCTCCATCAGCGCTTCCTATGTTTTAACAACGTGACATGCTTACGACATGATAGAATGTTACAACATGCTGGGATGAAGGAGGAGAGCGCTCTGGACCGGTGGGTCTGTCCCCTGCCCACACCTCACCTGCCTGTCCTATGGGTTTAGGAGAGAAGCATCTCAGCTTGTCACACTAACACATATGTGGCAACCAATTGGGGATCTCTACTGCTATTTGTTAATGTAAATTCTTTACTTTAAATCGATACAAAATAATTATCTTTTCTGAGCTTTCCCCACTGCTAACACAAACATTAGCCAAGCTAAACACACATACTTGAAGGTGAAAATACGCTTTTTGCTATGTGCTATGTGCAACAGAATATTCTACAATGATGGAAGTATTCTATCTCTGCTATCCAGTATGGTAACTAGAAAGTAGAGAATAAACAAGCTTTTTTATATTAGTGTCTCCTGAATTTTTTTTTTGAAGGGAAGACAGGACCTACTCTGTCATGTGAGGGGATTGTTTTGTATGGGTAGTGATGATGGCTGATGGCTAACTTTTTTAGCAGTTGCCATATGCCAGGTTCTATACTATGCTAAGCTCTTTATTATCTCCCTTAATCCTTTTATCGTCCTTGTGAAGTAGGTACTTAAAGGTCAGAGAACTGTGGCTCACAAGTCAGCAGTGAGTCCAAGGTTATATCTAGTGAGTGAATGTGGTGTGACCCAAACACAGGTCTCTTACTTCAAAATTCACTTTTCTGTCTATTGCACCATGTAGTACAGGTTCCCATAAATGATCAAGAAAGCTGTGACTAAAGAGTGTTATGAGGGAAGAAATGACAGGAGTAGGCCCATTGCTTTGAAGAAATAGCCATTGCATTTAAACTTACCTGAAATGTTTCCTCTTTGTCTTCAGAATTCTGAAAAACCAGAATTTCTCTGGGTAATTTACTTTATTCTCTCTGAGGGTTGGTTGGAGAAATTTAGGGTAAGAGGATGGGCACTGAACAAGACCAAATTTAGGTTCAAATTGGTCTTCAGTTTTATTATTACTATTATTACTTGGTAATGTTGGTGTCTTAGACATAAGTAGGGCACTCTGATTATATCTCAAGGACCTGTGGCAAAAAGGTTTCTGCTACAAGTGATAGGAAACACTTACTGTTTTAAATAGTTAGGAGATGAGCTCACGAAACAAGAAGTCCATGGACGAGCAGACCTCAGGCGCAGACCGAGCCAGTGCGGTGGCCCTGCGCTCGCTTTTCTTCACTCCTCCCCACTTGGAGTGATGGTTTAATCCTCGGGCTGATAGCAGGATCCCTGCTGCAGGTCCAGGTGTTACGTTTAAACATGACATCCAGTGGAAGAGGAAAGGCCTTGTCTTTTCTTTTTAAAAATTTTTTATTGTAGAAATTCTCAGACTAGACAGGAGTGTAACAAACCTCTCTGTACCCATCACCCAGCTTCAACAATGAGCCGTCTGTTCTTTCACCTGTATTCCATCCTCCCTCTCCTTGCGGTGTGTTTAAGACTGTTTTTCAGAAGTCTTACTAAAAAAAAAAACAATTCACTGGCAGGGAGTTTCCCAGACGACTCAGCACCCACCTTTTGGGATTAAGTATGGGGTTCAGACTTACCTGAAATAAAGGCTAGAGTGGTGGGTGGGTGGGTTCCTGGGAAGGGGGACAACAGATTGTGTTAGGTAGGAGGAGGCCGTGGACAGCACCTGCTCTGGGAACAGCATTTTATAATTTATTTGGCTCATCTTTAATATTGCTTTTAAAAAAAGCCAAGTTGGTTGGCTAATTGCTGAGTCTGGACTTCTTGGGTAGGATCACATGGGAGCTACATGGTGACCTAATTTTTAACCAGTTTAAAAATGTCATTTCACCAATTGGTGATAGGCTTTAAGGAATTGATTCTAACTGACCAGACTGACAGGATACCGAGCTTACCCATTTGTTAATGTATAGTAAATAACTAACATATTCGCAAAAGGTAATCTGTAGTCTATAAAGAAGACTTGATGGCACAGAGTTAATAAAAGAAAGGGAACTGTTTCTGTTGAGCAGCGAGGTTTTGTTTATATTATGTCTATGTTCATTTATTTCCAAAGTGTGGTCTTTAAAAGAACTATTTCTCTTGCTTTCAGTGGCATTTATTTTCAACTGGCTTGGATTTTGTTTATCCTTCTGTATCACCAATACCATAGCTGGAAGGTATGGTGCCATCTGTGGATTTGGCCTTTCCTTGATCAAGTGGATCCTCATTGTCAGGGTGAGTGTCTCAGTAGTCTCTGTCACTTTTATCTCTCAAAATTAAAACATGAAATTTCCTGTGTGGTTCATAAATGTTCATTTTGTGTATGTGAATTGAGTTATTTTGAAGCTTATTCTTAACATCTGTACTTAATTCGTATAGTGACTTCTGTTGTGTGAACATTTTATGACTGTGTGAGAGCGTGTTAGTACCTGGGAAGAGCTTTGAAATCAGAAAAATTTGAGTTTGAATCTCATCTTTTTATATCAGTGTTCGAACTTTAAGTTTGTAAATCGTTCTGGGCATTAGTTTCTTCCTAACAGACTGACAACAGCTGCCTTTCAGTATTTTTGGAATGGAAATGATGTATTTAGAGCCCCTTGCCCAGCTGCTGCACGAGTCTATGTAAATCACGGCTACCACTGCTGTGATACAGTGTAGTCCTGCCTAAAATCAGTTAAAACATGAACATTCCCATTGGTTAGTAAAATTATCACGGACTTAAAAATCTTCTCACTCTTTTTTCCCTCTGGTAACATTAAGAGCTCAGAGTAAAGTACAGGCCTTTGAGGTGCTTATCAGAACTTATCTTTTTTCCCCCTTTATGTTCCTTCTAAATCTTTCTTCTCATTTTCTTTTCGTTCCTGGAAATCTCCTTCTGTCTACCTCGTATCATTTACAAGGCGGTGTACAGGGAGATAACGATAAGTCCTTTCTTTCCCTCCCACCTCAACAACTTCTCTAGTCCCCAGACAATGTTCTGTAACCATTGCACAGGCAGCGGTACTGTTAGCATAGTCTCCCCCAGCTCTTTAAGTTGGCCTCTTGTAGGCGCCTTTTGGCTCCTTTTTACAAAGCTTTTCTCCTGGTTTCTTTAGGTGAGGCTAGGAGAGTTGCTTTGTTAATTAATAACTCTTCCTAAAAGTTTCTGGCACATTTAAGTGCTATTATACAATTAGTAAAATATATACTTTCTACAAATCATATTTATTTTAACATTGATTTCTAATTGAATGAGTCAGGTCCTAAAATTTTTAGCAGAATCACATACTAATATATCAGCTTTTCTTATGTGCTTCAGACACTTCAGTTATGCACCTACATTATCAAATTGATGAAAAAATTACCTGTTACAAAAATATTAAAATTACAAATTTTATGTGTTTCTTCATTATTCTTAAACTTACTTTATTACTTCTCAGGGTTTCAGTAATCTTATCAGACTCCGTCTCCATTCAGACCAGATTGTAGGTTTTGGGTACTAATCAGATTCTTGGTGGGGAATCTGTGTACTTGCTTCTTCTAAGGTGATTAAAACCTGAGCCATTGTAAGAACTGTGCCCTGGCAGATCCTTGTTCTAATTTCAGTTAGAAAGTATAAAGTTCCCATCATGAGCATAGATCTTGCGGAAGTTATTACTAGAAAAACTCAAAAAAGTTGGAGCGCGATGTGTTCAACCTTGGTTATGTTAGTAATAGTATGAACCACCATTACTCAAATGGGATTTCTTGTCTAGGTCACAGAAAACGATTAGATTTTCTCATTTCTCCTGAAGTTAGTAATTGCTAGTCTGATTCTAGAATCAAAAAGGAAATGAGTGCATTATATGCAATCTTTGCCTTTAGGATATTCGGGCCTAATGCTCTCATAGAAGCCCAGGTTGAGAAGGGGTTAGATTGTCAAGTGATCAGCCCCAGTTAGTGTGGTAAGATGGGTCCTTAACTCAAAGACTGGAGTTTCTCGAAGTTATGTAAGGTATGTATAGCATCATATTTAATCACTGGGACTGTTTAGTTTCCCTTTAAAATACCTTTATTGAATTAAGGTTAATATTATACCTGTAGTATATATTGAGAATTGCTATGAGAAAAGGATTTAAAAAATTTTTTTGTTTTAACAATAGCTGCCATTCAGTGCGTACTCACTACGTTTCAGGCATAATTCATTGCAAACTGGTTTTGTGCCTGCAGCCAGTTTTTTTTTTTCACTGATACAGTTAAAGAACTTGAATTCTTTAACCCTGTCTGTATCAGTGATGCTGATGTCAGGCCAGCTATGTTACTGATGATGGAACTAAGAATAACAAGTCTAGTCTCTTGCACGGTGTCCCACAGTTTGTACGTGGATTGGAATCTAGCTTGATTTCTGTTCCGCGTCTGTTCTCCTAATTTTGTACAGCCTCTGTGACACTGTACGTTGACTTTTGTTGTAATACTCCAAGCAATAAATTACCCTTGCTGAAAGGTTTTCTTCTAAAAGCCCAGTGTTTCCTTTTATATTAGATAGTAAGTAATTTATAAATCACACTGTTGCTTTTTTTGTTGGTTTCTAAGTTGCTGTAAAGCTCAGATTTAGTGTAAATATCTTTAGCCCCAGATTCTGATATTTCTGTCCAAGGCTTTTGATGTTTTTACTATTTGTTTAAAAATGTATATATATTTTATTAAAAACTGACAAGTCTTTTTGAAAGTATACTGGATATAAACAAAATTCTGGTGTTATATGAATAAAATAAAACCAGATAAATTCTTATTTTTGGTTAATTTATTTTCCAAAATGTGCTTTCTGTGCCTGCAGTTGACCAGTCAACATGATATACTTATTTTTAAAAAACCAAAAACACAATTTGGCCCAGCCCTATGATTTTTAGTATTTTAAAACATTTTTGATAACTTAGTAACGAGCCCCAAAGCTCATTAATTTATCCTTTTTACATAGTGACTTTTTCTCTTCAAAATGAAGGTAATTATATTCTTTGCTTGGGAGCAAATGAAGAATTGTTGTAGGTAAATATTTTCAGTGAAGAATGACATTGTTTTTCCTGGTTGCCTCTTGCCAGGTAGTATTATATATTAAATGTACTTTAAAATATATTTAAAAAGTGAGTTTAAAATGTATTGCTTTGGTTCTTTTTTTTCTTTTTAATCTTTTTTTATTGAAGTATAGTCAATTTACAATATTGTGTCAATTTCTGGTGTACAGCACAATGCTTCAGTCATACATGAATATACATATATTCATTTTCATATTCTTTTTCACCGTGAGCTACTACAAGATACCGAATATAGTTCCCTGTGCTATATGCTTTGGCTCTTTATTCCTTTGGTTCTTAGGGTCTCTAAAACCTATGT